ATATATATATATATATATATATATATATATATATATATATATAGTCAAACAGACGACTGTTTCGCTGTATCACAGCTCATCAGTGTGGCTTGACGTCCGGTTGATTCTAGCTGAATTTGCGTCATTCAGAGATTCAGCGCCTAAACCGTTGCCGCACGACAGGGATCAAGGCGAATTTAAGCGTATTTATTTTTAGATAAACACACAGTGACTGAGAGAACTCAATTCGTTTTGCCGAAGGGTTTTGCATTATTACCAGTAATAGTCACCGTATGCAAATTCACACTTGTTTTCCACAGAGCTCAACGAAAATAAATTTTTCCGGAGTATACATATTGTCATCAACAGACAGAATGTTTCACTGTATCAAAGCTCATTGGTGTTAGACGCCCGATAGACGCCCGATATATATATATATATATATATATATATATATATATATATATATATATATCCTATAGCTGGCCACTCATATTCGAGGATACCAGTCTAATAACGCGATTAGCCAATCCCTATTGTAGAAGCTTGCTCAGGCGCATTTATATTTATTCAACACCGACAGAGCCCACCTGTGGTTTATACTGCACTATGCTGAGCAGAACTTAGTTACAATTTCTGGGAAAGAGCGTGTAATCTACCGTTATCAACAATTTGAACAAGGCCAGCACACCCATGGCCTCGGTCACGATCACTTGTGACTTCGTGCTAGCACAGCTATCGACGGCCCCCAAGTGTTGCGTCTACCCAATTCCACTCACAAGGCTTTGTTCAACCTGTGGCATAGTTTTCAGACGCACTTTCCAAAGGTTCCACACGCTGGTATCGATCCTTCCAGTCCAATAACATCAGGAAATCTCCTTCCTGACATAGTGAAATTCGAACCCAGGTTCTCATGGTCAGAAAGCGATATATATATATATATATATATATATATATATATATATATATATATATATATATATATATAACATAAAGTCAACATAGAGGCGATAATCTGTTTCATGATGCAATCGTCAGGCCACGAGTGCTTGACGATTGCATCTAGCATGAAACAGACTGTCGCCTCTAAGCGTTGACATCTATGTTCACTTTTATATTTACACACGCTCTATCTTTGATATTGAGCACTTTATCCCATAAATATAGCACATCTTAAGACTATATTTCTTCATATATATATATATATATATATATACATGAAATTTCATATTTTTTGTAGTTCTTGTATTTCGTCTATCTTTTTAACTAAGATGAGAAGATCAGGTAGATGGAAGCTTTTTGGTGGCATCAAATATCTTATTTTCAATGTTAGCCATGTACAGGTTATTAAATGTTAGTCTCAGAACTGAACCAATGAAAACGCCATCTCGGTCTACGTAGATATTATTTTGATAGAAGGAAATCTAAGTAGTACAAGTCAATAGTACTTTCTCTAATATGTTAGATTTTAATTTTTAATCGAGTGAGAGATGAATTTTTGAAAATATTCTTTACAATTATATCTATCGTTTCTTTGACTGAGACATAAATAAACTTTCAACATCAAGTAAAGCTATGGACTCATTATTAAGTTTTTGTGTTTTTAAGATTTGGATTATATTGTGAGTTGATATAATACTGTATTTATTAGGTATGTATGGTGTAATTAGTTGGTTAATGATTTTGGTTAATTAATAAACTAGCGTGGGGATTTGAGATCTGATAGGACGGAGAGAGAATTTTGCTTGGTGTATCTTTTTTTTTTGCACAAGCTTCTAAAATGTTTATCACAGCAAAATTTTAAATAACATTGTAAGTATATATTATTTGGATGGTCATTAAAAGCGGACCTCAGTGATACAAGTCAAATGTAGTTTCCACAATATGGCATGTTTAATTTTTAATGAAGAGAGAGATGGTTTGTTGCAAATATTCTTTATAATTATCTCAATCGTTTCTCTCACCGTGACATTAGTAAATCAATTTTCAATATCAAGTGAGACTATGGTTTCATTATTAAGTTTTTGTGCTTTTAAGATTTGGATTAGATAGTGAGTTGATTTAATGCTGTATTTATTTGGTATGTATGGTGTAATTAGTTGGTTAATGATTTTGATTAATTGATAATCCGTAGTGAGGATTTGGAATATAATAGGACGGAGAAGGAAGTTAGGTTTATATATTTTTATAGTTTCATACATGTATCCAAGTTTGTAGTCATTAATTATTTTAAGAAGTTTTAATTTTTCGTGTTCCGTTTTGTTTCATTGTGATCAGTTTGTTGATTTTCAATCTCAGTTGGTTAATAGGAATTTTGTTGGCGTTTTTAAAACTTGGTGTGGGCGTCAAAGATTTGTTGTAATTTTGAATTATAATCAGATTGATTTAATACGATGAAGATATTGGCTTTTATCTGTTTTTTGTAAAATTATATGAGTTTGGTTAAGTAGCTCCTTAGCAACGATTTTTAATTGTTTTGTTAGGAGCTTAGACGATTTATTTTCTTTTGTCATGTCTGTCT